GGAAGAAACTTCATTATAGTGAGGAAAAGGACATATTGTCCAGCCGTTAAATAACGAACATAACAGCAGGCCAATAGTTATGCCTTTTTTCTCTAGACATGCTCAGAATACTATTACAAATGCAGTGCAACATGAACCAGTTCCAGTAAGTTGTGTCCTTAACTGTGGTCAAAGTGGACAAAGGTAGTGTGGGATTAGGTTCATCATTTTGAACAACTTTGCCTAAGTTAACTTCTGGTTAACTTCTGGTTAACTTTGGTGTTACATGTAATACAAACTTATTTTCCAAGCTAGCCACATATTATTTCTAGCTTTTGAGTGTGAGATTCCTTTCAGGAAGATGTGTTGCTGGTTGCTGGTCAGGGCCTATCATTAAAGGCCAGGTAATATCAGGTATACAGCAATGATTTCTACATTAATTCTTTACGTTATTTGCACCAGGGTATTTTTTTTTCTGTTTGTAAGCCTTTTATTCAATGTATAAATTATTACAGTTGTTGCTGTAGGTTTTTTTTTTTATCATTGTCAAATCCGACCGCTTTAGAAACATTGTAGATCTTCTGTTTTATTAAAGGGGCATCAGTTCACATTACATTACATTACCGTTGCGTGTGTAAGTCTGTGGTTTAACATCGTCACGTCTCTGCTGCAGCTGCTGCTGCTCTTCATCAGACCCACATCGAGATAAGTCTTTCATTTGAAGTTGATTACACAGACTGCATAGACCGAAAGACCGCATCTTGAGTTTTAAGTGAGATCTCCATGGCAACATGCCAGCGAACAGGAACATGTGAGGTGCTCGGTGTACTTTGCCTTGAGTGCCTGTTCAGATCCAAATGATTTCTCTCCAGTCGCTCGCTCAGTCAGAAACCACAACTAGGGGCCTTTCACCCAGTCCACCTCCTCCAACCTCCACCATCTCAGCCACTAGGTACATCAAATGTTTAATATTTTGGTTTACTTTGCATATACTTAAGGTGGTATTATCTGAAGCTAATTGATCACAATACATTTAAAGCAAAATGGGTTTTTTCTACCAGTTTTGTGAAAATGACATTAATTTAGATTCCGCCAAATAATAGCCTCCAGTTTCACCGAAGCAGCACGTGGCTTTTAAAAAGGCTACGATGGCCCTGAAAGTGAGGTCAGCGGAAGCGGTGACACTAAAACACTTGACCTCTGCCCGTTCATTTAGTCTGATGGCGACCGCGAAAAACCTTTGCTGTGTACAGTAAGCCACTGATTTCTCAGCCAGACAAATTGATTTTTGAAAGATGGCATCTCCTTCACAGCACAGTTAATGAAATCTTCACTCACTGACACTGCCATCACCAACATAATGGAGCTCTGATTATCAATAAGTGAATGTGCCGTAGCCGTGGAAATGAATCTCCTGTGCTTAAAGTGCATGATGAGCTGTGGGAGTAAATCACAGCTTGGTGTTTCTCTGACCTTGTGTGTGTATTTGTGTGTACTTGAAGCTGGGAGGTTCTGCGGTTCCTTTTGTCAAACCTGCGCTGGTGGATGGAGGAGTACCGCTTCGACGGCTTCAGGTTTGACGGCATCACCTCTATGCTGTATCATCACCACGGAATCGGTAAGAGTCCCGCGACTGAGAGCGTTGATGGTCAGCTGGTGGTCTCACTCATCATGTAGGTTCTGGTGGTAACATAAAACCAGGTGCTTCTCATCCATTAGTGTTGATCCGTTTATGGAGATGCTTTTATCCAAACCTCAGTGCATACGGTAGAACACAAAGTGTTGGCTTTGGTCAAAGAGATGAGTGCTGTACAAGACAGTAGATGAGGTTAGAGAGCACCACACCCTAACTTCAGTCTCCAAGCTCATAACTTTGTCTGAAAGTCCATTTACATAAAAAAACAGTCTTTAAAATCTGTTCTTTTTAGATTATTGATGTTTTATTACTCTACTTTCATCACTTTGAGAGTAGAACTCAGGAATGGCCAACCTGCGGCTCGGGAGCCACATGAGGCTCTTACATTCATATCAAGTTGTATGTTCGTGTTTTTTACGCAAATCACTTAGGAGAATTTGCATAGATGAAAAGATGTACACAGGATGTGAGTTTTTTTTAGTTTTTTTTAAGGGATGGGGGCAGTTCACATGTGCCCATGTACTGTATATGATGTGGCTCTTTGCAGTAACACAGTAAAGATAGTTACTCTTAGCCTCTTGACTGGTTGGCCACCCCTGGTATAAGTTTTTTTTTTTTCCTAACACGCCTTCCTTTTCTCCTCAGAGGTGGTTGTTTTTAACCCAAGGTCACGACTCATTCAGGATGGACGTGTTTTTTTTTTTCCTAATAAAGTCCAATATAAACAGATCTCATCTAATACTTTTTTATGCAGGCCACTCTGACAATTTTTTACCAATTTATTTGCTCCTGGAACCACCCACTAAGAGGACACATAATCCACCCCCTCCCCAGAGGCTGGGTTAAATTAATAAAAAAAAGTCTAAGCCTCCTAAAAAGCCGGTGTGTTCTGTTTTCTCTGATAATTGACACAAAACATAAAAAGTTGTATTTTTTTCCAGGAGCAAAAGACAAAAAAAAATGAAGCCAAACTGAAGTAGAGCACAAATCAAACTCTGCTGCAGGGTTTAAGAAGTTTAGCTGAGAAATGTACGAGGCGTGTTGACGGCGTGGGTGTTTAATCCTCAGGCACGGCCTTCTCCGGGGACTACAGCGAGTACTTTGGCCTTCAGGTGGATGAAGACTCCGTGGTTTACCTGATGCTGGCAAATCACATTCTTCACACCCTTTATCCTGATTGCATCACTGTTGCAGAGGTAAGAAACAAACACAGCGGCTCATACAGTCTTCTCAGTTAGCACCAGCAATAGCCCCAGCCTTTATTAAACAGAACCACTAGTGATGGGCGATACCACAACCTTTGATTTGATGCTGACCTCTGGTCAGTGGTCATGTGACATGAATGGATCAGTTCAACTACACGGGTGTTGCAGCACAAAAACCTGTCTGTAGTAAGTTACTCTAAAAGATTTGGAAGTGACACATTCAAAAAATAGTATTGATACTTTATGGGCGTCATCAATACTTAATTGATACTTGAGTGATTATTGATATATCGACACCACGGAAACAATACTCCCATCACTAGTAAGAGCTCAGCTTTGTAGTTGGGCGATAGTACGAGGGGTAAAAACTGTACTGTACAGGAATAATTTAGCCCTTTAATGCAGGGTTGTCAAACCTACGGCCCGTGGGCCAAAACCGGCCCGCTGGGGTGTATAGTCCGGCCCGCTTGATGAATCTTGCAAATAAATAAATGCACAAACACTTCATGTTCAGGATATTTTTTGTTATACTATGTTATGATTGTACTGGTCCGACCCACTTAACATCTAATTAGGTTGTATGCGGCCGTGAACCAAAACGACTTTGACACTGCTGCTTTAATGTGTAAGTTATGGACTGGTACTGATCTGAAATCTGAAATGTGAAGGAGTGTGATCTCGCTGCAGGACGTGTCAGGGATGCCTGCTGTCTGCAGAGCAGTGCAGGAGGGAGGACTTGGTTTTGACTACCGTCTGGCGATGGCCATTCCTGACAAGTGGATTCAGGTATGTTGATCCCATTCTCCATGTTTTAATATTCCCCATGTGAGGAGTAGGTCTACTCTGTTCTCGTTCAACCCTGCGTTGTCCTCGAAACTACCATTTACAGACATTGCAGTTGTGAAGTGGACAGAAAAACTAATATATGAGTTAAATCTAGAGAGAAGAGTGAAAGCACGATCAGGGGACAGACAGAGCAGAGAGTTGGGATTTTTTATTCATCACTTGTAGAGTTTAAAGTTAGTCATTGGAATAGTTTTACTATTAAGACAAAATATACTGTATTTGTAACACAGTAAATATATTTTAATATAAGTGAATGATTCTGATATTGCTTAGCCCAGCAGTGTCCAACATACGGCCCGCGGGCCAAAGTTGGCCCACTAGGGGATTCACAATCTGGCTCGCTAGATGAATTTAGTGAGTAATGAATGAAAGTAATAAAATGCACAAACACTTTATGACTGTGATGCTTTAAATTATATTTAATTGAATACAAATATTTATTTGCTTGTACATCTTTGAATGAAAACAAAGGGGAAAAGCTTGGACTTATTGTTATGTATTGGTAATTATGTTATAATTGTAGTGGTCCGGCCCACATCTAATCAGACTGTATGTGGCCCCTGAAGTTGACACGTGGCAGTTCGAACAGATCAGCTGGATCATTAGGTGGACACGATGAGAAATGGGTTGAAAAAGGCGCAGGAGAGGAAGTGGTTGAAGAACAAAGATGTATTGTCTGACTGTGTAAGTGGGAGTGTAGGGCAAACTGTGAGGCTGTCAATACATTACTGGACATTTGTGGAATCTGAAGGCTACACATAAGAGGAACCATCAATAACATTGTGTGAGCAGAGTTCTTTCTTTTTCTAGCTCTCCTAGCTGTGAATAAAGAGAGGCTTACACTCAGTGGAGTGACTCACTTGTAATCCCCACCTGGGTCGACCCACTGAGAATGTCAGAAGTTTACCACTGTTTCCAAACTTTTCAGCCTGAGACATTACTTTTCTTAGAGCGAAATGCGGTCTTAAATACAGAGCACTGCCGAAGCTGTGCCAGGGATAAGGCTAACGATACGGAGCTGAAGAAGAGGAACACGGACAACAACTTCTTCTTATCCAACTCTCCACATTGTCAGGGGAAATATAGAGAGTAATTTCCACCGTAATGATTTAACAAGGAAAATGACCAAATGATTTCTTAAGTCAAGTTTCATATTAAACTGAAAGAATTTCAATGAATAAATTTCATTGGATGGCAGCGGAGCATGACGGTGTTAAAAGGCACAGCCTGGACACTCACTCAGGCGTGAGTTCACCCACTGAACGTCTGTTCCTTTTTTCAGGCTTGATCGAACCGCAGAAAGATTTATTTAATTTGTAATTATGCTTAAGGTTAAAATAGAATATGAAAATCAGAAAAGAATTAATTTGGTGCTTTTTTTTAACTTAAATGTTTCTATTCTTTGTTTGTGTAGTCAGCTCACATTAAGCTAAATCCTTTATTTATTTATTTATTTTTATTATTTTCTGTAGTCCAGTGTGACTATTTAACATTTTACTTTTATCTGGCATTCCATTATTTTTGCCTAAACAACGTCCCGTTTGAAACTATTTTTGGGCGAAATAAACAGAGATCTTTTTTTCTGGAGGGGGTTTTTCATGGGACAGGACTTCCCTTGATTCACAATGGACTGATCGGTCCATGAGAGCAGGGAACCCCCAACCCATGTCTGTGTCTTGCTTCATCAAGAGACACACACATTTACAGAACCCCAAATACTCCCTTGCTCTCTCTCTCTCTCTCTCTCCCTCCCTCTTCCTCTCATTCTCTCTCACCCAACTGTATAGGCACAATCATCAGATTCAGACTCTATCTACGTAAAAAACAGAGTATTTTTCGACCATAGTTATTCAATTTCCTACTGTTAATATGCAGGAGACATCAGCCATTGTCTAAATGTCCTTTTATTTCTTGTTATTTACGTTTTGTAAAGGTTAGTCCCACTTTAATTAAGGCCAATAAAGACCAAAAGACGTGCACAGAAATCAGTCGAGTGTTAAATGAGAGATTATTTAAAAAAAAAAAAAAAGTTGGACAGTCTGTTCTCTCTTTATGTATTGGAACCTTTTTAAAAGGTGACGTCTCAACATTCTCAGTGGTTTTTGCATACAAAGTGACTTATGTTAGTTGACGATAAACACACGTCAGATGAGTTTGGACACAGATGTCGAGATGTCTAACAAGAGCACACACCGATGGCTCGGTCTTTGTGATGAACATTTTTTTAAAGATGTTACCATCAGTGCAAAATGGCGACCAGTTGACATCAGAGGGAATGTGTGCGTCAGTTCACACGTTCATCCACTCTTTCTGTCAATTTCTTTTGTAGTTACCACTGACTCCAGGTGAAATTGTAATTATTGAATGAGTTCGGACATCACTGTATCACAGACCATTCGTTTTAAACGTATATTTGAATCGGTTAAGTTTCCATTTAATCTGAGAAATACTTGTTCAGATACTGTAACCTTATGTGGCCACAGTGCAGACCCGATAATGAGATGATGAAAAAATGATTCCACTTTTTTTTCGGCCCAGTATTTTTCCCTTTGGCTCTGATCATTAGCATTATCAGTATTTTAGCTCTCTTTTCTTTGCAAACTTTGAAATTCACCATTTTAATCATTACATTGAAGCATATGTTTTACTATTTTAATGCCCTAAACTGAGACTCTTTGTTCTTTTTTTATACCTATTTTAAAAACTTTGAACACAAAGCGAAGTGAGGATAAATAAACAGTATAAACATGAACAAAAAATATGAAACATTCCAAAATAAACATCAAACAAACTACAGTTATTGGGCTCTGATTTTCTTAATTATTTAAAAAATAAATCACATAAATATGTATTATATTGTAACCGAGGCTGTTGTAAAAGAGGGCAATTAAGTTGAAACTAAATAAGCTACACAGATGTATTTACTGTTATTGTATTTACAGTTATTCAAAATTAAGTTGAAACTAAATAAGCTACACAAATGTATTTACACATTTCACTCACATTAATCTGCCTGCTCCTTTATTACATTTAAACGGCTTCCAAATGTTTGAGGAATACACTAGTAGCTATTGTTTAAGGGTTAAAGGTCAGACGTAACAAATAATCCAGCCTCAGGACCTGCATTTATTACATGATAGTAAATATTTTTTTAATATCATATCAAATTGAAATAAATCAAATATTAAAGCCTTTGTCGAGGAGATATCAAAATTTTTGATTCGATAAAATACCATTTACTTTACGATACCTGTCTACCTGCAAGACGTATGTGAAAAAGTACAGTTATTTTTAATATATTTTCATTTCCCTTGGCAGTTACTTTTAAAAAATTACATTTTGTTGTAATTTCATAACAGTTACGGACATATATTCAATGTCTACACATACACTGTATGTATTCATATTTTAGGTCAGTGAAGTGGTCTTTTGCGTTGCCATGGTGTTACCAGGTCTTTGAGGTATGATGGGACCTGGTCATTATGTGTTTTACAGAAAATGTGAGGAGGAGGATTTTGAAGTCTATCCTAGATTTTACAGGCAGTCAGTATAAAGAAGTTAGTTCTGGAGAAGTGTGAGTCTGTTTTAACTGTCTTATGGGAACAGGAGCCAATGAAGCTGACGGCTCCCACTCTGAATTTGATACTTATTTTATACTGCCTTTTTTTTATTTTATTTTTTACTTGCTGTACAGGAGAATGAGATTGGAAGTTTTTAAAACCTTTGAGTAAAATATTATTATTACTATCATTATTAGACCTTTGAAAAAAAATAGGACCTTATTATAACAATAAAACATTGTCAATTCTGAATTTTATTTTATGCATTTAACTTGCACAGTTTTATATATATATATACATTAATATGTATAAGTATAGACACACACATGCAAAAATGTACTAAGAAACAAATAATGAATAAATATAAATATATATGACATACAGCTGTACTTTATTTACACAGTATATACAATATACATAATAGTAGTAACGTTAATAGAATATCTTTATATATGTGTTTATGTATATATGTGTGTATGTATGTGTTTATATACTGTGTGTATATATATATATATATATATATATATACTATGTACCTTTTCTCAGAAGAGTTGGACATCACTACATAGGCTAGTGTGCTCAACTGTACCAAAAGTAATCTTTTCTTGCCTAAAGTCAAGATGCTCTGAAAATAGTCCTGGCTATGTCCAGGTTTAGGGTTGATTAATATAATGGAGTCAAAAATAGCTGCGGCTCGTTCTCCTCTCTCTGAGAAGAAAATGGGAGCATTCATTTAAACTTTCATATTTATCAGATACAAATACTCAGACTGTAAATTTCCCCCATCATTGGACAAATAATGGACTCATCTCATATTATTATAATGTTTAATAATGATTTAAAGGACAATTCCATGTAACAGAGCACACAGATGTTTGCCTGCGTACATCAGTCACATCAAAGTTTACAACCGACCCATCACTACTGATGTGTGATGTGTGTCTGTAACCCCCCCCCCTGCTCCAAACTGACACACGGACCCCACCCACGTTCATAAATGTACCAAGTTTTTTCCAACAAATATTTTCTTCCTTCTAAAGTCTAGAGGGCCTGTGACTCCCAAAAGTCAAGTGCAAGAAAGTGGCAGCGGCAAACGATCACCGTTGCTGCACCGTTCGCTTGAATATGCCCCGGTGTGTGCAGTGGAGTGCACTTAGGTCTGGAGCTTTGTTTCAGAGAGAGTCAATTAGGGAGGGATTTGAATGGGCTGAAGTGGAGCCTCCAGTCAGGTGAGTGTTCCTGGAAAGAAAAAAAAAGGGTCAGGGATGAAAGACACGGAGGAAGAGGGACAAAGATTTAATGGCAGAAAGATGAAGCGAGAGACAAAGAGCTCTGAGCTTATTTATACTTTCCACATGTGTGCATGAATAAATCTTTTTGATTCCTCGAGGCAGGCCTCATGCTGCCTTGCTTCACTAGCATGACAGATTGATGTGACTCATTTGCTGGCTGCAGAAGACTAACAGGCTGTGAAAAATTAAGATATCCTAATGAGAGAGCCCCGATAAGGTGCACACGGCACAAGTTTGTATGATTTGATCTGGTTATGACCATAAAATGCTGTCACTCCTAATGGATAATATTGCAAAAGCCTTCTAATTTAACACGTACCCTTCCCTCCAGCTACAATAAATTGAGATGTAATTGAAACAATTAGAGACGGAGGAGGAGGCGGAGGTGGAGGTGGAGGTGGAGGCTCGGCGGTTGCAGCGTGTCTGGGAGACAGTGATGCAGAGTATTTTTCTGGCACCTCTCTGCTCACTTGGTCTTTCAAATTAAATGACCTCAGAGTCAAAAACCTCATTTTTTTCTATTTAATTTAATTAAAATATAGTGCTGCAAAACGTGTCCTTAAATCAACTGAAGGGAAAAGAAAACCTATTCATCTTCCTGTGCTTTGTTCTGTTTGTCAGACCGCTAACTCACAATCAAAAAAACAAAAAAAAAACAAAAAAAAAAAAACAATCAAAAAATGAAGGCTGCTTTCAGACAGTGATGGACTCGATGCTGATTGTGTAAACATGTCAGCGCCCACTCGTTTGTCGAGCGTTGTCTGACTGCAACAGCAGTATTTTGGACTAATCTCACTCTGCTTTTGTGGCCGATTGATCTGCGAAGGCTCCGTGCTGCGGTGTTAGCCAATGAGGTGGGACTGAGAAAGTGCAAGTTGTTACAGATTTATATGCTATTATTTTGGGACTTCCATAATTGGAGTGTCACAGTACCAGAAATTAGTAGTCAGTAGAAACACTATTACACCTGCAGTTTGGGAAAAAAATGTTCCTTTTGCTACGGACACCAGATGTGCAGTGCACCACAGATTTCCCTCTGCATCCAAATGAGACCCAAACAAACTCCCATTTTCAAAAAGAGTTTGCAACAATATTTTCACTTAATAATATATTCTAATGCAGCATTGCTTAACGACACAGAACATCTCCTACACTGGCAACATCCCAGAACAAGTATCTTAATGTTGACCATTTAGTACTGACTCTCCAAGTCCAGACGTCCGAAAGAAATGTGGAGAGGAGAGACGAGCAGCAGAACTATTTTGGAGAAAACTCTTCATCTGAATCGTCTCACCTCTGCTTATTTTTTAATGAAAATGTTTTGGTGTTTTTTTCTGTTGGCTCTTAGATATTGGAAGTGATCTGTATCATTCTATAACGTTTGTCGTTTAATTATTGTATTAGACTAAGACTAACAAAGACCTTGTTTGGTATCAAATATTAACCTATTTGATTTAGTATCATATCAATTTCATAAATGATTTCCTTGCTCTGCGTGCTTGTTTTGACCAGTCTGTTTTTTTTCTACATTTTCTCAAGGTCAACATTATTAACAAGTAACCTATTCAGTGTTATAACAAACTGGTAATAATGTGATTTTTAGTTATTAGAAGTAATACTGTAAACCTAGAATCACAAAGCAGGAGGATCAAACGAAAGCAATACCAAAAACTTTTAAAACTTCCACTCTGGTGTAAGATTTTAGACTTTTTTGTTAACTTTTTCTCCACCTCCGTTGAACCATTTCTATCAGACGGTTCCACTTTAACCTCACCCGCAGTTCCAACAGAACACGCTCAGTAAAGGAAGCTCAGTTCAGCCAACCAGGCAATGCTAAACACTGGACACGTTTGTGTTTAGCACCTCACCACGGTGGGAGGGATGAGTCTGGTATCAGTTGTAGCACGTCAATAGCAGTTTGATGACCTCACCGCTACATAATGTTTTATATATTTTTATACTGGCTCTGCCTAATTAATCCGGGCACATTGGTTGGCTCCTGACAGCAGGCTTGTAAAGAAAGATTTGTGCACTGCTCATTATCATTGATGAAGTGGACTGTCAGAGGCGCCAGGAAGCTCGGCTGGTCCAGGGTTGATGTGGGTGAGCTGGTGGTAGGGAAGTCGTCAACCCAGTCACTCCTGTCTCGCTCCGACAGTCACGCCTGTGGATTAATTGCTCCCAGACCACTTTTGCGGTTGACTAGAATTGTAATGATTTATAAGGAAGTGTAAAGTGTCTGATTGTAGGTGGACGTGAGGGTGATCCGCCTGGTCTTTTGTGAGTCTTAGTTTTCCTTATGCCTCTAATGATATCTTCTTTGTGCTCCTGGTGTATGATGCCTAGGCTCCGCCTCCTCAGTTCTTCCCCAATCGCAGCTGTATCTTTAACATCAAGTCTCTCCACATCAAACATCCACACCATCATAACTTTACAACTCTAATGTTGTCCCTTGTGACTATTGTTGAGTTGGGGAGCCATGCCAAGCCTTAGATGCCCATCTGCTGAAATTATAATATGGTGTTAATCTGAATTAATGTCCGGATTTACGTTAACAAATGCCAAAATAATATAGACTTTTAATGAGTTGTTTTATGTCACAGAATGTGAAAATAACGTCACGTTTAAGACTTAAACTAATTTATTTTAAATTAACGTTCCAAACTATACAAGTAAATATTTCGAGTAGGATTCTTTGCTTGTTCTAAATACCCGTCATCAGTAGGCTGATCAGTTGTGAGGTTAAATGTAAAATGTCATCAGTGATATGTCTGGGGAACCTGCGAAGATTTACGGCGCTCACAGATGGTTTTCGAGGTCAGAGAGAGTGTTTGTTCGTGTACGCAGATGACACCGCGTTATTTATCTCATCAAGTGACATCGTCAATGACTAAAATGGCCACACAAGCCTAAGGTGAAGAGGTGGTGATTGTGAACAGATGGTGATATATAGAGCTGGGGAAACCTCCATTTACTTTGACTGCTCGCTTCATCTCGGTCCTATTGATCGCCTCCATTTACTCTCTTTTGCTCAGAGGATTATGGCTCTGTGGGGTTATATAAAGGTTTCCTGACATGTCAGTCAACTGTCACAGCCAATTCCACCCAGCAGACTTTAGCCTGTCACATTAGACTTTTCCACCTCAACCACCGATTACACACTCACGCTCTCTCACACGCACACACACACCTACACTTACACCTTATGTCCCTTAAGTCTTCACAAAAGCCTCTTGGAGGGCAAAGGCTCTTTTTTATATTTAGGAATGATATTGATTTCTCGGCTTTCTTGCTTCTCTCTTGTTTATTAAATCACCTCTGTGCCCACTCCAGCACACACGGTTATCTTTACTCTGCCCTCTGCTATTATTTGCTTGTATGACTCTGAGTTATTGGAACCAGTCGGCGCAGCAGTATGGCAGCAGAGTGTGGGCAGATATGTTTGAAATGTATGTCTGTGCGTGGCCTCGTTTCCCTCTGACCCCTGGAAATGGTTCCTTTGGCAGGAAGTGTGCAGGTAGGCCGGCTAAGTGACGGGGCATTGATTTCATGCGTGGATTTATTGCTGAATCCAGAGGAGCTGAATCCCTGACCTTGCCCATCTCAGATGGAGGCGAGCTGATGCCTTACTACCCATGGGCTGTATTGAAGTTATTAAAAAGTCCATTACAGCCATTCAGAGGAATACATAACTCACAGGGCAGATATAGAGATGTCAAAACAGAGATTGATCTGAAGAAGATGTGTAGCCCAGAGAAAACTTCAAGAAGGAGGAGGAAAGACTGCCGGAACTGAAAGACTGGCCTTTGGACATCACTCAGTGTGTGACTTTATCTTTCAGCCCCGCATCTGTCATTTCCCTTTTTTTCAATAAGCCCTCTCTGCTGTCGTGCAGATCCTGAAGGAGTTAAAGGATGAGGAGTGGAGCGTGGGCCATATAGTCCACACACTGACCAACAGGCGCTATGGAGAGAAATGCATCGCTTATGCAGAAAGTCATGATCAGGTGGGTTATGTTTTGGTTTTTTTTTCTCCCCATGATCCCAATTTCAGCTGCTGTGGGTTTTATCAGTGCAGGTAATAACACGCAGCTCTCCTTCACAGGCTCTGGTTGGGGATAAGACCCTGGCCTTCTGGTTAATGGACAAGGAGATGTACACAAATATGAGCACCTTGACTCCTTTGACTCCCGTCATTGACCGCGGCATGCAGCTGCATAAGATGATTCGCCTTCTCACTCACGCACTGGGTGGGGAAGGTTATCTCAACTTCATGGGTGAGTCATCCCAGTAAATTTAGAGTGGCAGGAAATTATTTTGAATGTTCAAGTAAACTATTAGAAATTCAACCTGTGCCATTCCTGAGTGTAAACATGAACGTCAAAGCCTATTTGTAAAATGTTTGTTTTATTTTTCACATGAAATGAAGTATTTGTTTAGGGTTAAAAATACATATCAGTGTGTAGAATCACACGCACTTAGCATGTAAGTGGCACTGGTAGATAGAATGTTAATCTGCAGGGAAACTGCTTTAGAGTGTTTAACAAGTGGATGCAAATAACAGCAGCACTTTAGGAACCGAAGCTGTGAAACACATCCAGTGTGTGTCAAACAAAACAGCCAAACATAAAATACTGCTTTTTTTTGCTTTGATCCATTTATACTACATTTGCAAAAATAAATAAATATAGAAAGAAATTATGGCTTAGCTACAAGTAAAGAAAATTTAGACCAAATAAAATATTAAAATATGTGTAAAATATGTTTTGCACAAGTAAGGCAAAAAGAAATATAATGAGCCAGAAGTCGACAAATATTTTATACAGAATAAAGTAAAAGGAACTCTAAACATGACAGTTAAGATTTACAAAAAGGGAAAATTGATTTTTTTTTTTTAAATATGCCAGAAGTGGCTCATGTGTAGATTAAAACAGCTACAGTAAGCAAAGATTACAACTCTAGACAAAATTAAGAATAAAGTTACCCAAAGGTATGGCAGAATCAGTAGTACATGTTTTTCATAAAAATAGTTGACCAGTAGATAATTATTTGTTGGCCAAAAGCACCTTTCAGTGGGTTGACAGACAAACTTTTTGCACCCTGCCTACTTCTGTCTTCCTACTATACTTTATAAATACCTCATTCTCTCACGGAGGCTTAGGTTTACTACAGCAATTATCTCACATTTGGTTTGTAACTATACGGAACTATATCATTTGTCGTCCGTCTTTAATGGTGTGAAAAAGCTCACTGGCTGTGAGTCAGGATCGTCGCGAGCCCTTTGAAAATATGAGCTGCCATTAAAAGTCACCACGGAGAGCTGACAGGTTACTGGAGGACACTCATTTAAACGGAATGGTTTTTTGAACAGATGGATCTGTTTTTAGCCTATGTCAGCACGCACCTTATTTCCTTCACATGATCCGAGCCGTGCCTTGCCTTTATCAAGCCCCGCTGCTGTAGATAATAAAGACGTAATTGATGACTGACCTTGGTTTGGAGAGCTAATGTTTTCCCGCGGGTGCCGGTGCCTGGCGTAATCTGAAAACCATCAGCCTCGTGTCTCCACCTGGTGACTGGCTGATCTGACTCACCTCCAATCTAAACACAGCTTTTGTGTCACCAGTGAAGCTGCTGTTGTCAGTGACGTCTCGTCACATTCATGGAAGAAGGACCCGGGTGTGAAGTGTGTGTGAAGTGTGTTGTAGGGGTTTGATTAAAAATCCCTTCTGGCCAGAGTGACTCGTGATGACCAGGATGTCAGAGAAGCTGAAGAAACATTGACTGTAATTGCTAACAGGCAGGCTTACCAAACCTTTTTTTTACTCAGTTGAAGTACCCCTAATGCTCCACACCATCAAATAATTGCCATTGAAATTTCACTAACAATTTAGACCCAACAACGTTTTTTGTTTTCTTTTATTATAATTTTAGCATTAAAAGTCCTACCACTATTACAGTAAAAAAGTTCATACTAGGGATAATGAAACAGGTGAGTTCTGAAGAGGCTGACAGATACCATACATACTGAACAGTACCAGCTAGGCAAAAAGAAAAAAGTGAAACAATAACAAAGGGAAGGAAATCACTGAAAACTAATAGTTATTCCAAAGTTTAAAGAAATAAAAGTTGTAGCCAAGACATGTAGATAATTAGCTGAAAGAGCTGGAGGTGAGTGTAAAAGAAAAGCTAAGAAAAGATACGTTATGTTATTATTAATTGTAAAATTATTGTTACCTCTGCAGTTTTTAAACTTCCGATCAGAGATGAAGCACTTCTGCCTCGGTGCAGACTGGGAGTCGTTTGTTAGCAGTTTTAGTGCGGGAGCTGGTGGATAGTCAATTACCCGCCGTACACGATTGTCCTTCACGTCCTCACTTGTTCTGTTTTTGTCTCAAGGCTTTATGAGCTTCTAAATGTTTTTTTTATTGCCAATAGTTATGTGGTTTAATTTATTATCTTTAGCGACACAGGCAGAGGTGTTTAAATCTTTGTGTTCATCAGTTTATCAGTGAGTAAGTGCCGTGTCGTCTCTGGGTTTGAGATCGTGCAACATTTTCAGCAGTGTTGTTTTAAAGAAAAAAAATTATAATAATATTACACACAAACTGTTAGAAACATTATAGTTAAAGGAGACAGTGCTACAGAAGGACATTGATGTCGTTACATTTAAGTCACACCAGTGAAGGACATAAATTAAAACTTTTTTTCTGGAAACTGATTATCAGAGAACAAAGTCCTAAAATGTATAACGGCGTAACGAATGAAGGTGACTTCCTAAAAACCTAATTCAACCACAGGCCAAACTTTAGACAAGGCCCAACTTTTTAGTTTGACAAATGATATTTTTTCAGTCTGACACTGAGAAACAAAATAACTTTTGTGATTGACCTGTTTTTTTTAACTGTTGACCACTGTTTGTTAAACAGATAGTGCTGTTTAAATTTGTTATATGTCAGTTTGTTTGTCAGGGAGTGCTGTGCACAGAATTTGGTAAAAGGGCAAAGTCTTCAGCAGATGTTCCCCAGACAAAAATTATCGTTTTATTGCGGGATAAAAATCTCACATTTTCAGGATGATATGTCTTCAAGAATTGATAATCCATCTTTTAGTAATTATCATGCAAGAGCAGGGATCCAGACAGAAAAGGAGTCATTACAGAAAGGCAAAACAGTCCTCTGAATAAAACGCTGTCGTCGTCTTTCATCACATTAATAATAGATGGAAAGTGAGTTGTTTTGTCGTCGGAAGAATTAAAAATCAAGATAAAAAACTTTGAAATGATAAGAATTACACATAGAAGCATTTTATTCATGTAAAAACTCACCTTAGGTCCACTCAGGTGTCTTCAAACAATCTACTCACACACAGGGAGACCAGGTAAACTCCAAAGGGAAAGGACAACAATCTGAGCTAGAATATTTCTGTACTGAATAACGTCTGTAAAACTTAAAAATACGCTTTTTGTGACGTTTAACCAGAATGAACTTGAATTTTGAGTTCACTTTTGTTTTTTGTTTTGCAGGCACTACATGAACTAAAAAGATCTAGAAAAATGTAATCAATAAGAACATAAGAACATCAAAACTGACATTTAAGTTGAATAGATTAACAACCAGAAATAATAATGAATAGTAAAACAATAGAATGTGTAAAATAAAAATGTCTGTAATGTCAAAACCAAAGGAGTAATTATCTTGTTAAAAAATTATAATTCTCGGTAAATCGTGTTTGAGCATTTAATTTCAAGTGCTATGTAATATAAAAATATTACTGGGACCAACAGCAAACATCAGAGATAAGATGGAGAGGAGTAGGTATTTGAGATGCTGAGCGATGGATACCGCTAAGGATGTTGGTGCGTCAATGACATTAAAGTGCCGAGTGGTGTGGCAGCAATGAAATGCCTCAGTGGTTTTATCATTGCATCAGTAGGGAGAGAATGCAAGTGCTCACACTTCCTGACTTTCAGGGCTCGCAGACGTTTAAAATAACCTTGCAGATTTACAGCCTCCAACATTGAGCTAAAAACTTCTCCCGGCTCTCTGTATTCATGGAATGTTCCCGTGCAACAGGCGGCCATTATTACACTGTGGCCCAGGGTGATGAATTGAAAACCGGTGCTTCATCCTTCTTGCATTTCTTCAAGATAATATCTTCTGTGACTTTCCCTGCATTAATCCCACCATTGCTGTTGGACTTCAAATGAATGCAGTAACAAGAAATCAATTGCGGAGGTTACACCATGTAACTTCTTAATTTTTTTTTTTACATTGTATCTAAACCCATCAGTGACTCTGGCCTTGTATTTCCCCGTGATGCCCTCACTGATCCTTTCTTTGCCAAATCCCTCCAATGAAAAACCCATTGATTCTTGGATTCTGCTTGTGCTGCTAATTACTGAGGGGACTGTGTCACTGTCAGGCCTTTATCTGATGTCGTCCCATGTAGGGGAGTAATGGGATGTGCCAGCTGAAAGGCTGTCTGACAAAACCCTGTGTAAACATGGCTTTCCTTGTTAATCGTGCCATCACTGGAACTGCTAAGTTAAGCTGCTGTCAGCAATACACCTCGATAAGAAATCTGTTCAGTCACATCATAATGCCAACACTATTATTGGTCTTAAATGAGTGCTAACTAATTAACTTTTCTCTTTATAAGAAGCACGGCTCAGCCATACATAATCCAGTGGAAAAAGACAACGTCAACAAAATCATTAGAAAATGTATTACAGCTAAGAAAAATTTAAAAAAAATACTCACTTTGCAAATCTATGCTTGTTTCAGCTAGCGATGGCTCGATACAGGTTTTTGATCTTCGATGACAGCACTGCAACCTTGAGTTTCTTCCGATACCGATATAAGTCCGATACCTTCTCCAGCATGCCGCGGGCTGCTGTAGCTGAGACATTTGTCTCCCTGTTTACATCAGGGGCATGTTGCACAAAGTTAAGTTGAGAATTGGGGCTTAGGTATCACATTGGAAGTGGGTTTTTGGGTGTTTGTGTTTTTTTTTTTTGGATGTTTGATCCTGAAATTTTGACCAATATCTGAATGATACTGATCCTGAGTATCGAATCCAGCCATCCCTAGATTGAAGGGAAACAGGTCCTCTGGGAAAATCCTTTTTTTCTCACATCAACTAACGTTGTCATGTGTATCATGTGAATAAAGCAAATAAACACTTACCCAACAGAAGGATTTTGGTTAGAATTTTGCCAACAACCTTTTTCTTTTCACATGTATTCTTTTATCACAATGACGTTAAATTAGCATTT